CAGCACGGTCTAGAACTGCGTAGTCCAAGAACGTACCTGGCAAACATCATGCCTTCACAGTGTTATCCAGCATGTGGACAACACATCTGCTTCCTGAGATGTTCAGTTACTTGTAGCACAGGGAAGGGCAATAGTCCGCATGTCCCAAAGGGAATTTGTTCCTTTTTTGGAGCAGGTAAAAGATGAGGCCACCTTTGCTTTCCTGCTACCCTTATGCCTCCTGTAAGCTGTGATGTTTTGTTTCACACAATTATTTTGAGGCTTGTCACATCTGTATCTTGCAGTAGTAGGAATTTTTTGTGGGGTTCTGATATAGCTGCACTTAGTAGGCAGTTGGGCTTGTTGATCTTCAAAGATCCAAGTGAACTGTACTGCTCTGTCCTGTTGTATTATACTAATCTACTTGCTCAAGTAAGTAGATACAGAAAGGTTTAAAGAATGAAGCACTGGGCTTGGGGGAGAGGTCTTGCTGTCCTTTGGATGGCAAGAAACCTTTGTGGAAATTATCACTGAGCAGCTTTGTTACAGACAAATTAATGTTCTGACCTTAAAAACATTTCTGTTAAAGCAGAATTTAGTCTGTTCTGTCTTTTGACAGCCAAAAATCGTTCCCTGTGATTTTTGAATCATATTTTACATTTGAAATAGAGACTTATGTAATACCAAGTCCTACTTAATTTAGAACTATATCTAAGAAAAATCATTAGCCAAGCATTACAGGAACATACTGACTAATTATTCAAGGTCTCCTTCACTGCTTCCTATATGATAAACTCTTTGTTTTTCATAAAACGGCTCTCTAATTTTTCAGAAACATTTTATTTATTTGCATTTTATTTAAATCTACTGTCTGTTTTCTTCAGCAAAATTAGTACTGTCAAAAATACTCTTCATTGTTTTAAGACAATTATGGTACACCAGTCTTAGGACACTATAACCTTTTCTTGGGATCAGCAGTATTCCCTATTTGGTGCAAAGTCACATCTACCAGTTTCATTCCAGACGTTACAGTTTGCAAGGAAACCTTATAAGGGTGAAATGATTGAGAACATGCAGAGGGACTGGCATTTTGCAGCTTTTGTGAGCTAAATGCATGACGTAAACTAACAGCAGCTCTGAGAGCTGAAATTGGAGGGTGAGCTGCACTGATTCTAAAGTAACCATATATAATTGATTGCAAGAATGAATGAAAGATCATTTTACAACAGCAAACAGGAGGCTGATCAAAGCAGGAAGGGAAAAAATGAAGTATTTGAAAAGAGATGAGTTTAAAAATACATTGCCAGAGAAATAGAACACCCTCAAAGACACCACTTAAAATTACTAATATTAGTTTTGAAGTTCCTTATTGAGGGCATGCACAGATCCCAGGCAGGATCAGTACTTTTGTGTGTCAGGCACAGCACAAACTGAAATACAGGAGGAATGAAATTTGAGCCTAAACCAATTTTTCAAAAAAAAAATAAATAAAAGAGAGAGCGTTGAAAAATAACCTTTATCCTCTGGATTTTTTTTCATTAGGAGCAGGTGTTTTTGAATAAGTGGCTTCTGCCCTATGAAAAGGAAAGCAGTGAATGAATTGGGCTGAATGACTAAGCAAAGTGACAGATTTCAGTCTTTTCGTCATGCACTATCTAGTTCAATCTTTAAACCCAAAGTAGCCCATAATGACCATCTGACGACCTGCCATTCAGCCCAGGGACAAAAGGTCCCCACTGTAATTGTAGCCAACTGCTCACCCCTTTAGCAGCTTTGCAGAGGCTCTGGTCACCAATAGTCAGGAGAAACTCTCCCTGTGTTCAGAAGAGAATTTCCAGCTAACACTTGAAGTGCAGGTGTAGGAAAAAATTTGTTTGGAGCACTGAACTTTCATCCTATTGAATACAGGTGTAAATAAAAAGAAAAGTTAAGTATCCGGAGATATTTTTTTATATATTAATCAAGGTACTACTGCATTGGGCCATTTCTTGTGAGTATTCCATTTTTTTGTAATGCACAAATAAGATTAATGAAGGGAATGTTAAACTTATTTGAAATCTGCTTCGTTTTTCTATGCTTCATTCCATATGAGAGAAAGTTCTCATATACACCCACCAGAAAACACTGAAAAAGGCTGTGTCCCTAAGCATGTTATACAAGCAAGATAACAGCACTGCTGCCAATGGGATTGTAAATTTTCAGGTGAGTTGACATCAGTTACTCCCATGCCTTACATGCATTTTCTGCCAAGAAATATTTGCATGACAGAGCTTTCTGGCAGAATTATTTGCAGGAATTTATTCTTTTAATCTGAGGGAGATGTATGCCATACGCCTTGCCAGTCAGCAAAGAACAGAGAATGTGATTGAACCAACAAATCATATGTAACATACATATTCTGAAGAACACTGAACACATACAAGCATGTGCAAATTTTATGATGAGGAAAGGATATCTTTTGCACATTAAATTATCAGTTTGATAGGGCTCAGTTCTAGCTTCCTTGACGATTTGAAGTTCATTACATTGTGACTAAGCTCATAAAACATACATTTCCTCTTTTGCTTTAATTTTGATTGCAGTAGTTTCAAGATCTGCACATTCGTTCTTGCCTCCTACAGTCAATTGTTCTGTTGGCCAATGTCACTACTTCTTTCTTATTTCATGCCCAACAATTACATGCATAAATAAAAATTGTGCAATTGAATAAGAAATTAAAAAAAAGAGAATTCAAAAATCAAGAAAAGAATGCCAAAAGCAACATGCATCTTCCTTTAAAGATTACGACTTCTATATCAGGTAGTATTTATGTTAAAAGCCAAGAGACTAACAAAATGTTTCTGTCACTGGGTTCCAATGACCACAGTAGCCTTCGGTCATCATTCCAGAAACCTGTAGGTGTTCCCTTGCCATTGACCATGTAAGCTATTTTACCTGGGTAATTTATATATGTCAGAATAATCATCACTCTGAAATACCAAACTATTTATAATGTACAGCATTTCATAAGGTACTGCCATTGGCCAACTAGTGTACTAGGAAGATTTTTTATGTAGTTAGAGCTGATAATTTCTTGCTGAATAGAAACTAATAAATTATGATAACAGTTTTTTTTTTTCTCTCTCCTAATAGTTCTACTTATTACTGTTGTTGACTGACCATAATCTTTCTAACAGTCTACTTGAACACAGCTTTAACGGTTGTAATTCAAATCAGACACAGAAAAATTCAGTATTCTCAAACAGAAATGAACAATCAGATTCAAGTAATTTCAGATGAAATAATTACATTGTAAGTTGTATAAAATAGGATTCCTGCCATAAAATCTATTTTTAAAAGTCTGCAGCCCTCAAGGTTCTAGGTTCTATTAACTCCTGTTAACTTGAGTGAAGCTTATGATAGAAAATGCCTCCTTGAACTAAGCCACTGAGCATGTTCTCTGAAGGTTATGGATGCTTTTATTGTCTAAAGCACAGGATATGATTGACAAAACTAATCTCATATGACTGTACTGAAAGCTGAATTCCTCAGAGAAGCATCATCCAAATGATGCTCACTAATGAACTCCATTTTAGGAAACCTCTGTGGTCTACATAAAAAGGGATCTTTTTCTCAATCAAAAAGCAGCATATGTTGCTTATGCATTATTTAGTGCTAATGCACAGGCCATATCTATTGACATACAGGTGTAGAATGTGTAGCAGCTCAAAATTAATGTGATTAGCATAACCTATTGTGCATGAACAATACACTTGTTTCACAAACTGTGGTGCTGTCTTTTTTAATTGATCTTTTATCATCTCTTCGTAATATATATTGAGCAGCAATAACGTATGCAGTAGTAGTTTCTGTACCTCAAAGACAAAACACGGAAGCTAAAAAAAACAGGACAAACAAGTGAAGAGAAGAACAGAAATAAACAAAGAAAATGGTATGAGTCACCGTAAATTCTTAATTAACCCATGTTGACAAAGGCTATTGAGTCTGAATAGTATACATATGTGAAACTCATGGAAATAGAGCTACATAGCAAATCAAAACAATCTAAACTTTCAACTTGTACAGAAATTAAGGAATGCCCCAGGTCTGCAAGATAATGGAAGCATACTGAGGGTTTGTAGGCAGAGAACTCTGTCTCATACAAATGGACTCTGCCCCATGGCACCCCAACTTCTGCTATGGAGGCATCATCTCCTTTCCTGGGCAGCAAGGGTGGAAGATTATCAAAACCCTTCAATAGAAAATCTACAAAACAGACCTCATGGGCAGTCGTAATTCACTGTACTCAGGATAGAAATTAAGAGTTTCATTTTCACTTTGAAAAACTGAACATGGCCAGCACAAATGCACTACTCTATTCTAAAAAAAAAAACAACTTCTGAAATAGTTCTGGTAGTTAACATAACAAGGAATGAATTCATGATGTCACTAAGAATTTGATAGTACCCAAGAGACTCAGGTTTCTTTTAAAAAATTTCATTTTGCTAACCAGTTAACACAGTTTGCAAAATGTCCTACAGATTTAGAGATTTGTTTTCATTCTGGCAGACTGACTTTGGTCTGCACTTGGCACTGTGTCACATCTTTAGTTCAAAACCAACGTTAGTGTCAAATACAGAGTTCCGTAGGGATGCCCGTAGTCTTTATAGCATTGCCATCAGCTCATGGCTAAAATTAAGTGTATAGAAAGGTTGCAGTATACAAAAACAATAATTCAATTTTCTTTCTGCATTAACATTTTGGATACCACTGTCGATTTGTTTATGGTTGTTTTTTTTTTAATGGTTTAAACCTATGTTTTCATTCTCTGTGTTCAGCTGTCCCAACTCTTGGTATTCCCAGTGCAATCTGTAACTATCAAAAACACAGAAAACATACAGAAAACATCAGTCTATAGCTCTGATGATCAACAGACTGATCTTTATGCACGTGTGATCTAATGCTACTGACACCAGCTTCACAACACAATGACATACTATGCAAGAAATGGAACTGAAAAAGTGCCACATCAAATCTGTTACCTGGCTGGTGGGTTTTTGCTTTTCCACCAGAGGCTGTTGGATTACTCGATCCAGCTGATGAGGCTTCCATGCTTATTGACCTTCTGACTTGTGGTAATGAAGGGTGCCCAACCACAGGTGGACGCTTTGACACTGGGTAGCTTGCTGCAGTCCTCCGCTGACAGATTTGCACACGCTTTTCAGCCCCATGAATAGATAAACTTATACCTGTCAGGAATACGAATTAGTACTGTTAGACACAAGAGAACAACACAAAACAACTAAGGTAGAAAGGTACAAAAACTGCCGCATTTAAAAATGAAGTTATAAAAGCTTTCATAAAGAAAAAATAAAAAAGGAGGAAATAAAATTATAAAAACATGAATTTTCTATGAAAATAAAAAATGTGAACATCTTTACTGCTGCTGCGCTGCAGATAACAGAATAACTACACTAACAGATATTTAAACTAATACAAAGTCATGGTTTACTGCTGTACTGGCCTATAGGAGGAATTATCTTCCACTCCTTCAAAAACCACACAAGTCGCACAGGCCCATAGTAAAGAGGTAAGTACTACACAGATTATTAAGTGACAGCTTTGTGATTGATAGACTAAAACTTGGCAGTAATAGGTTCTTCTCTTCTGAATATCTGCATGTACCAGAATGTCTCATCGTATGGAAAAGACACTAAGCTACACAAGTAGTGACCAGTTTTTATTAAAATGATCTGCTTTTAGGACAACAATAGTTCCATAAGCAACAATAACATGACCTTATGTTTGAAAACCTATTCCATTCTCACCAGTTCTGAAACATCTTCTGCAATGCTGGAGATTCTTTCACACCAAACATTCTCAAATTTGTCACATTTGTCACAGATAATTTTTAAATAGAAATTGTTTTCTGTGACGAAAGAGGCTTTACTTTTCCACAGAGAATAACAAAGTTGACATTTTCTATCTGCTGTATGCTCTCAGAAAGAAATGCTACTTTATGGCAGAAAAACAACTGCTTCTGACTTTCTTCTGTTCACATTAATGCAATTGCAGCAACTTGAATTACTGACAGCATCCTCTGGTAAAAATCTTTAGCCAATCATCTCTTTCAGGCAACAAAGCTGAACAATAATTCTACAATGCCATTTTATGCTTAATTTAATTGTGATTCTTATTCCTTTCATCAGCAGCCATTCTTTGTTTAAAAAAGAAAAAGGAAAGTCTTTAAAGCTATAACTAGGCAAACAGAGAAGCAGATAGAAACAGAGTACCCTAAGAATCAGAAACATGTAAGCATGTGAAGGATGAACTGTAAAACTGGTCACTCAGGTAGCACTGACTACACATGTTAGCAAAAGGGGTCCTCCACTGTCATTCCCAAGACTGCCTCAGTGACACCAGTCTTCCAGTTCTACTGAAAGTCCATGTGACATAAGCCTCCAGATCACAGAATAGGTTTTGAAACTCTGACATCTTAATACACTTCAATACGTAACACACTACTATGGGGAAGAGAGCCGTTACTTTTGTAGGTAAATGGTGAAAACAGTGGGGTTGCACACATGAAGAGAGGCTGTGCAAATTGCTCTCCTCTGAAATGGCTTTGTGCATTTAGAACTGAAGCTGCGTGCTCACTACCTGATTTTGCTGCACTTCATCAGAGCTGATCTCCTGCAGGAAGTTTAAATGGAAGTGCTCCTATGAGCAGCTGTTCACATACCTCCTGGTTACAGAGCTAATGTAACCGCTGCCTGTTTCTAAGGATCGTTGGAAGCACATCTTCATTAACACAGTCAGCAAACCCCAGTCATTTTATTCAATTGATTCATCTTGTGAAAGGCAGTGTAATAGTCCACACAAGCAGAATAACAAGTATGCCTGGACAACACATTTGTTTGAATAAAGAATTTAGTTGTAAGAAGATTCAAACAGTGAAATACAAGCCCCACCTGGGGCTTTCCTGTGCAGTTACTAGAAGTTCAGAGTAACATAACTGATCAAATTCTTGTGCAGTTATCCCTAAGGTATTGCAAAAAGTATTCTTTTAACATCACCTCTGATTGCTTTATCATAAGAAGCAACCAACTCTGAAGTTTGCAAGGGAGTTGAGGTACAGCTCAGTGAAACATGTAACTGGCACAGACACACCCTTACTGATTGGATCTCAGTAAGGGTATATCTTAATTTGGTCACAGAACAAGGCCTCTTTTTTTAGAAACTGGTTGCAAATACACTGTGATAAAGGTGACCAAGGAGTTGGAGCACCTCTCCTATGAAGAAAAGTTGAGGGAGTCAGGCTTGTTTGGCTTGGAGAGAAGAAAGCCCTGGGGAGACCACACTGTGCCCTTCCAGTACTTAAAAGGAGCTTAAAAGTAGGAGATAGACTGACGTTTTACACGATCTGATAGTGATAGAATGGGGAGGAATAGATTTAAATAAAAATAGAAGAGATTTATGTTAGGTGTTTAGGCACAATTTTTTTCCTCAGAGAATGATGAGGCATTGGCATAAGAGAAGCTGTGAGTGTCCCTCCTGGAGGCATCCAAGGCCAAGTAGGATGAGGCCTTGGGAAATCAGATCTGGTGGTTGGTAACTCAAACCATGGCAGGGGTTTGGAATTAGACAACATTTATGGTCCCCTCCAACCTAAGCCATTCTATGATTCTGTGATTATCTGAGGTTAAAGTAAATATTTTCACTGTCTGAAATCATATATGATGTGTTGCGTGGCTCTGACTCAGCTTCCTAAACTATTTGTGCAGCCTTCAAAATAATGGATACTGCAGACAGACCATTCTTCCTAAAGACTGTAAAATCTGCAGATCTAATCTATCCAAATAATCACAGCCAAAATGATGTTCAACCTACAATTTAACTCTGATTGCATAAAACCTTCTTTCTCTTGCACTTAACAGTGGGACTATAAAGCAATAACACCGAAGTCTATGAAAAAGAACATGCCAACATTATTGGAAATTAAACAGATTATTCATTGGACATATTTAAAATGTGAAAGCATTCAAAAAGCACTACTGTTTGTTCCAAAAAGTTTGTTCCAACAACGTGTCACCAGTATATTCAATATATTTGTGAGAATGAATTTCCCTCGTGTTTTCAAGAAATACAAGTACAGAACAAAGTTGCAAGCATCTTTGTCTAATTAGCATTTCAGATTTCTGCAGAGGAAGTCCAGATCTTGCTTTTCTCTGTTCATTTCTTTTGTTAAACTACAAGTAAATGTCTGCAAAAATGTAAGATTGCTATCACAGTAAGCTGAGGTATTACCTTGTTTTCATGTGGGCGAAAATCCTTTTAAAAGAGATACTGGCACATAAAAACACATTCCCAGTTAGTATGCACAAAAGTAGAGAAAAAGAGAGGGGGGAATCAGAGGCAAAGAAGTATTAGAAATAGTGCTTATAGCTTATGGGGGATGAAAACATGGTGAATTATTGGCATTAAGCAGTCTCTTGTGCAAACTCACCCTATTCTTGCAAAAAACCCACACTGTTGCTGAATCACAGTTTCTGTGGGACAGAGATTTGAGAAAATGGTGCAGAGATCCCTGAAGAATAGATGTTCAAGTTGACACCTATTACTTTTTGCAGTGTGACAATACCCACATAAGACACCTAGAAAGACAGACAAACTCTCCAGCAATACACTGCAGACTAGGTCCTCAGTTTACTCGTTTGGTGGAGCCATTCCCTGGCTTTCAGTTTTGATACCACATAGATGCTGACCACCAAAATCCCACCATTGTTACGTGCCTCCCTGTGCCTATAGCATGACCATTTGTAAGTGAGCTTGGCAGCACTGGCAACGCACTTGACTGCTCTGACAGACAGTAGGGATGCTGCAAAAACAGTGTTTATTTTATTGCTTCTCACTTATTATAATGGATCATTTCAACCTTGAGCTACCAGGCAGGTAGAAATGGAAGTCTTACATGCTGTCCAGTACCCAGAACCAACTGTCCACTTTGGAGGACTAGCTTCTGGATAGGGCTCAAGCCATTGTGCTCTGCAGTCTGAGCACCACTAGCAGAAGTAGAAGCTGAGTGTTCTGAAGCTGGATGAGGTTTGAGCCTGAAGTATTGCATGCATCACTCAGTCCTTTTCCTGCATACAGCAGAATTCCTTCTCTGTATTTTCAATATTAACACGTCTTTCCTTCCCTTTCTCTGTCCTTTGTTCTTCTTTTCCCACAAACAAGCTTTTTGTCTCCGTGAGGAATTGCTCTTCTTGTTGCATTTCTGTTCTCCTCTGAGACCTCTGTTTGAGGTTCATGTAAGATAAGCATCTTCACTCCCTTCCTACAAAACAACCTCAGCTGTGCAGCTTGCTAGCAGGGAAGAGCAGCCTTGATCCTGCTCCTGGCTAATTTATTGCTTCCAGTTTTGTCTTTATATGAGGTATTATTTTTGCTAAAGCAGCATTTCTTTTATATCAAGCGTATTTTGTATCTGATAATGAGAGATAACTAGAGAATTTATAATGCTCCAGATAAAACCTGCGTATCAGAACATTAAAGTGAAGTACTAAAGTACTTCAAAGCCAGGAAGCAAAATCTAACTTAAGGAAAAGGAAGGAAAAAGTACTAGAAGTAGAAACCACCACTGCATGGCTTACCCTGCATGCAAAGCTTTATATGATAGTGCTTTTTGTTTTGTTGGCTTTTCATATGCAGTATCAATCACCCTGTGCTGCATAGCAGTCTCTCATCCAAGTACGGGATGGGGCTCTGCTGCCTCAGCCCTGGCTAGAGGTCCTGAGCACCACATACCTGAGCGTGAAGCAAGACCCACCACCAGAAGGCCTCAGCCAGCCAGCCTGCACCATTGGACTGAGCATAGTGCAAAGCTCTGGTGCTGGAGGAGATGGTTTTAGTGGCAGTACTGGGGCTGACAAGGCACTGGGTCCAAATTACACTACATTGAAACTGAGATGGCTTGGTAGGCCAGTTTGGCTCAGCCACAGTTCAGCTATAGGCACATAATCATAGGCTCCTTCCTGAGGTGTCTTCCTCTAGACAGAGATAATATGAACATGAATAAACAATAACAACGCAGTGCAGACTCAGGAAGCTGTATAAATTATCTATTAGCTAACAGTGCTAAATTAACCTCAAGTGCCCTGACCTGCTTTGTAGATCTCTGGGATAAGAAACTGCTGCTGGCAGGTGCAATAAGGCTTTTTATTTTGGTATTATCAGCATGTCAGTGTTC